AAGGGTTACAATTCACAGTGCAGCATAGCTGTCAGGATCCGTCCCAGGAAAAAAACTCAAGCAATATCGAAGACAGATTGCTACTCTTTCCACTACAAAAGTCTCTGTTAGATGATTTCAGATGGAAGGACAAAAAATCACAGAGCTCCAAGTATCAGGCAAATGAACTAGCCATAAGGAAGAATTGGGTCTGCAAGCTTGTTCTGTTCTGTTTGGGTGTGGTTAGGATTTGTAGTAATGGTAACCTCTTTGTCACTCTTTGGAGGATACTCTTCACAACACAACAGAAAAGCAGTACAAACTGCTGTATGTATGTCCATTTTTTCCTGGTCTCCCCCCTTTGTTTGTCATGGGACTTGGTGCAACATAGCCACCGGTACAAAAGTTCGCAGTTACTCAATGTCCATTTACTTCATGCAAATATTTTTCTTATGATCGAATGATTTTTTTTGAGGATGGCAAATTGTTCTGTTACTATTTTAAGCCAACTGCTGGTAATACAAAACTATTCACAGAGCAGTGTAAAATAGAACTTCATGGTTTCCTAAAACTGGATTCAAGGTTTACTTTAGTGGTTTTGGTGACTAAGTTGCATAGATTCTGGTTTGTTTGCATCTGAGAACATCCTCCGAGGAAGGAATGCAGTGTTTCATTCCTGCTAGAGAGTAATTTAAGCATAAAATATATTTTTCTTATTTTTAAATAATTGCCAGGGCAGATATTCTTTGCTTTTTGTAGAGGCAATATTTTGTTACTGGGAATAAAAAACAAAAGAGCTTAATGGAAATCATGTATTTGTGTTTTTGTCAGTGAAAGGAGAAATACTTCTAAATGACAGAAACTGGTTCTATTAAAGCTAAAAGTTGTCTGCTTTCGAGCAAATCTGAATGTAATTGAGGTGGGCACTAAGCTTCATTTGCTACATATGGTGCTTGCTGAATAGTCATATAAGCCAGCTGAATGGTAAAGTCATGCTAAAGTATCAACTATAAACATCAAACTTCCTGGTTTGTCACCAGGCCTGGGATCCCTACAATATATATTGTGTGTGTTTTTCACTACTTTTATTAAATAATGAATTTTTCTGGCTTCAGAAGCACATTGGTATATCTAGTACTGTTATAGAAAGAAGCACTTATGCTACCAGGCAACTTTTCAGTTTGCTTCTTGATACCATCACCATCTCTGCATTCATGTATAAGGGCTGTGAGGAAAAGAAAGTGTGTTTTATTTCTGTACTATGAACCTGGCAAAAAAGCCATCTCATCTGTGGCAGCAGGGCAAGGAAAATAGTAATGCAGATAAGAACATGAAAGAGCTGCAGCTCTTACACTGCAGTTAAACCCAGGTTGTGTGATAGATAAGCATTACAAATACGTCTGGAAAGAGGCACAACTAAAAAGTTGTGACCTTCTGAAAAGCAGCAGAAGGTACAGCCTTGTGAGTATCAGGAAAAGAGAAGCTCTATATCATCCTTAAGAGGACATGCAAAACTGCTTCGAGCAGTTACTAGATAGGGTTACAGCATATGTCAGTGCCCTTACATCAGGACACTACTACTACTGCAGTTTTTGTCAGCATAAGGTAGACGTAATTTCCATTTGTGCTGGAGGAACAAAAAAGATACACTGATTAATCTCTTCATGTTCAGTGTCTTCTCATGTGAGACCTGAGACTGCATTCTGCCTGATGTGAACAAAACACGGTATTATATCTTTTCTCCTAAAAAGCAATTTTTTCTTACTACATTTAACGCTATAATTTTACCACATTGACCATTGATACTTTATGGTAATGATACTGGGAAAAACTGGAATGTAATTTTCCTGGGTTTTGTGGTTGTTATTATGTTTGTTTTGGGTTTTTCAATAACTTTCTGTGCTTGTATCACTTCCACACTGGTGAATCCAGCAAGGCAAAAATAATTGCAAGACTTTTATCTCACAGAACACCCATAAAAAAAGAGATAAAACCTTGTCATTTTGCTCAGGTCCCCACAGGGCATGTGGTGGATAGGTTTCATAGTCCTAATGGGGACTAAAGGACTGAAGTGTCTACAGAATCTTTCTACTTCCTGGCCCCACTCCAAGGTCAACACTACCAACAATGTCTTTTTTCCTTTCTTTCACAGTATGTCTGCATCTGGTACATCTCAGCAGTAAGTTCATTCCCCGTTTTTAATACCAGCTACCCATAACTGAGCCCCAGTCTGAACATCATGTGCCACATCAGGCTTTTGTCACGACCTTTATGGCAACCCTTTTGTTCCCCCACTCCTCCTGAGTGATATCTCCTGCTATAGCATAAGATCCTCAGGGAGGAGCTATCCTTTAACTTGCTGTAATCATTCTGCTCTCCTGCCATGAATAAAAAATAACAATGGTGGATTGCAGCATGCATGGTATGAAGGATGTGCTTGCCAAGAACTGTGGCTTGATCCATGCAATCCTAAAAAGAATGGCTCACTGTATTTAGCACATTACTTCAAGTGATTAATCCAGACTGAAAAAAAAAAAAAATTAAAAAAAAAAAAGCTGCACTGATATTTTTTTTTCAAGGCACATGAATGTTTTTTAAAAGTAAGATTTCATTTTGCTGAAGCCCAAAGCCTTGGGGTTGAATTGTCTACTTTCTAGTAGCCCTTTGATGACTTGTGCTCAGTAATGGAAAAAACAACATACTACAGTGTACTGCAGTATCAAACACATTTACTCAATAATCTTTGGTATCCAGGAGCTTATCAGAAGCCTCATATCCAGTACAGGCTGCTCTGGGTACAGCCTGGTGTTTCACATTGGAGCAGTATAGAGTCCAGCCATACATGTTCAGAGAGCTGCAAACAGACAGATTCTCTTTGTATATAAACACACAGATACCTTTGTATTGCCAAACTTATATCTGAAGATCTGGTTTATCTCTTCAGTATGGAGTAGCTCTACCAGGAGGCTACTTAGAGAGCAGAATTGCTAGGCTCAGTCCCATTTGAATGAATGAATGAACTAAAAATTGCTTTCAGAAGGAAAAAGCAGGGCCACTGAATTAGCAACCGAATTCAAAACAGATTCTAAAGTACATCCTCAGGTAGTACTATACACATCTTTCATATGTACGTACATGAGAGGATGTCTGAGAAAAAGCATGAGATCAGCCATAATTTGTGCAGAGACTGCCAGATTTTCATGAACCATGGAGCCAAATAAAACGTGAATACTTTCCAAGAGAAAACACTGTAGCTAAGTCTCAAGGGTAAATAAAATCTGTCTAGATTAATTTAACATCTGTAGATATCTTTCTAAATGAAAACATCATAAGCATAATATATACACCAGCTGTAAAACATCTATTTCTGGAGTGAAAAAGGTCAATATAAGAGAGAGGAGGAAAAAAAAGGTGTGGTTGTTCCAACTGTGCACTTCTAGGAACTGCAGTTTTTAAAAAATTCAGCATTGTATTAATCTTTTTATTTTTAATCAGAAATTAAATGAGTTTAGATTAAGAACAGTTTGATTTGGCTCAAACCTCTAAAAAATGGGTAATTCAATGTTATTACTTAATTATATCCATTTTCCTGTATGTAATTCAGAGTATTCTTTGAGGATAACAACTGATTCAGGTATTTGACTTTTCTGCAGCTAGTTGCAAATGAAAGCTGTTAAAATATCTCAGAATCGTAAGCTATCTATAGGCTATCTACAGAACTGAACAGCGTGAGATGTTTGTCACAGAGAATTGCCATGGTTGCTCAGGTAAACAGGAGCAACAACTCTGGTATAAAGTCTATTAAAAATGTGTCAAAAAAAAAAAAAAAGTGTGTGGAATATATAAGGCTTTAATAACTGATTTAAAGATGGCAGGAAAGGACAATGGGAGGCTTGCTGAGGGGAACACTGCCCTAGCCAAGGAGCTTAGAGAAGGCGGGTAGAAAAGAGGAATAACTAACCTTGGTCATATGGAAAACCAAACCCCACCAGTGATTTCAGCCACTCCTTGATCTACTTTTAAACATCTCAGTGAGTGGCCTTTGCCACCTTCCTCCCAGGTGTGGTTTAACAAACAACTGAACTGATGTAACAACTTACAGCCACGACAGGGAAGATCCAGCTTCCTCCTGCCCTGGCTGAGGCCATCTCTTCTCCTGTGGGCCTGCTCTGCTGTCTGCTGTCTCCTCGATGAGTCAGCCCAACTCATGCACCTACAGAAAATTATCTGGTCTTTTTTGCCAACTTAATAAGTGAAAATCTGACTAAGATTAACCAAAGTTTTACTCACTTGGTTAATCTTCGTCAAATTTTTACTTGCTTGGGTGTCTGAAAATTGCTAGAGCCCAAAGAAGGTAAATGACAGGGATAGGGGCCTGAAAAAAAGCTCAGGAGGGAAAGGAATTTTCTGTTTTCAACACTGTTGAGTGGCAACATGGACATAATCCTAAAGGACCACTCTGTTGCCATAACCACCAAAAGTACAGTTCTGGAGCCAGAGACACCTTGGTTTGAGGAGTTGTGGAGCCTCATCCTAGGGGAACTTCAGAAGCAGCCTGGATTTGGGCCTGAGCACCCTGCCCTGAGGAACTCTGCTTGAGCAGGGGTGGGAGATGGTGACCTCCAGAGCACCCTGCCAGCCTCTGCCATGCTGTGATCCTGTCGCTCATTTTCCATTCTTAAAATTAAACTATGGCATTTGCCCTTCAAAATAAGATCTATTTTCACTTTGCATTCTAATTGGCTTTGGTTTGTTTTTATTTACAGCAAAGCCCTTGTGTTAGAGCACAGTAATATGTAATAGCTAATCTAACTGTAAAATCTCCAGTGGAGAGACAGCACTTGTAATTCTACTACCAAGCAATTAAGTGATGTCAACACCCTCACACCCTTGATTAATCTTAGCCTCATTTACCCCGTGATAAAATAGCAGTGCCTTGTCTTCACCCTATCTTTTCAGCGATGCAGGGTGCTCACTGCAAGTATATTGCAGCAAAGGCTTTTTTTTTTTTTCTTTTGACTACAGACCTGCTGACATGTGCAAGAGTGACACGAAGCATTATCTTTTACACAGCTTCAACAGGTTAACTCCTAGAATGTAAACATTTCAAGAATAGACGCATAGGGTATGTATACAGAAGAAACTATTTTCTTTCTAGAGCAGCTGGAAATAAATTAAAGGTATATTGAGCAAGCTGATACATTTGAAAATCCTAGCCTGGACATTAAACAAATATATGAAATATTACACCCCAGGATAAACAGCAAATATTTTGAGTTCTTTAACAAATATTTGCAGACGTGCACGTTGATGGACCAGGTAATCAAAGGAACTGCAGTTGGGTAGCATGATTTAAAACAGATGCAAAATCTATGTGAAGTCTCTAAACACTCTTGTACCATGCTTCTTGTACTCGGGTTCTTCTGGAACAGAACTTAGCCATTCTGTGTGCCCTGTTCCTGGCACTTCCTTTGGCTTGGGAACATTTGAGGTCTCCAGCTATGTTTGTCAAAAGAGGGAATCTTCCCAGTAAGTACATGCAAACCCTCCAAGCACTGAGTAGCTGGTAGGAGAGCAACTTTGGAATATTTGCTGCTTTTCTTTCAAACAGGAGGAATTTTATCTGTCTGCTCCTGGAACCAAGTGCAGCAACAAGTTGTTACCTCAAGCCAAGGTTTATGAGGTAAAAAGGGATAGCAGGAGATACTTATATGGATATAAGTGAAATAATAATTTTAAAAATGGGGAAGGTCTATAAAACAACTCAGTTAAAAACTGACCATTTAGTGACACCCATACAATGAAAAGCAGACTGGAAAGGCCTGCTGCTCACAGAATGTCCTTCTGTTGCTTTTTAAAATTACATATCCACATTTTTATCCTGGCTTTCACTTCCTTTCAAGCAAAGTGACCTGAGAAAAGAAGGTTTCTTTGTGTTTTTTTTTTTTTTAACTGGCAAGATGTTAACATAGGGTTTATTATGAGAAAAGAAAAAATGTTCAGAAGATAGGCTGGATATTGCAAATGTTGTAAAAAAGCTTTGGATTCATATCCAGCTCTGAATGCAACAATTTTTATTTCTTGCAGGCTTAGAATCACTTTATTTACATGTGTTTTCCAGAAGCGAAGGAAGCATTTCAGACAGTTTCATTAAAGAGAAACAAGTCTATCTGCAGAAGGATCTGTCATGCGCGATTTTGTTTACTTCTGTCCGTTTGCTAACCTCAGACTTCAGTGAGTCACGGTATTTTTACTGCCATACTATCCATTCCATAGGCTTTAGCACACTCCTCCAGTTAATTATTAACAAAGTCCAAAGGTATCCACCCCTCTCCCACACAGATATTCCTGCTAAACACAGCTCCATAAGATCTTCTTACTTACAACTGTTCATTACAGTTTGGACAAGTACAGTGTTAAGGAGCTGATGCTTTGGTGTTCCGTAAATTCAGCAGGTTTGAACGTCATGGTTCCTGCTGCTGCTTGCATATCCAAACAAAGGGGACCTGCAACAGTCCTGAAGACATTTACTAGCTTAACTCTTCTTCATCCACTTGAGAATCACCTTCTTTTTCAGGATTCCCTGTAGCTACCTTCTAAGAAAATGAGCTCTTTTCTCTTTCCTGATTCTTTGGCTCACTCAGTGCTGTCATGCTCTCCACTTCTTTGCCTAGGCCTGACTGTGATTTGGTGCCAGGCAGGTTCCAGCAGTACTGCAGATGGAAGAAATCAGACAGCATTTCTTCATCACAGCACACTGTCTCTCCAGTGCATGGGGCATATGCCAGGAATTAGATCAGGAAATGATTTTTATTTCCTGCAGCTTTTAAAAGTTATTTTTCAGCTGAACAGGTCTCCTAATCTGGTTCACAGAATGGCCCTAAAAACTGCTGGTAGTGAGGGAACAGTGAGAACGTAGTGCTGAGACGTTCCTGAGTCTACAGTATCAGGAATCTACGGCCTTACTGCTGCTCGCCTCAGATGAGCTGTCTCTGAACATCTAACAAGAAATAAGCTTGTTGATGTGTCCTGGCACAGTAAATCTGCATGCATTTTCAAATCTCATCTGGCCTCTTCCACAAAACAAGATATCTTGTTTGGAAATCATTTGGTCAAACATTTGAAACAGTTTTGGACTGTCTTGCTTTCAAAAACTTGTTAATCGTGATTTTCACATGACAAAGCAAAGCAAAAAAAAAAGCAAAAAGAACAGTGAGAAATACCTCAACGAGGTCATGGCCAGTTGAAGTGTGAAGATAAAAGCGGCACCTGAAAAGGATCTGCCCAACTGCAAGCTTCTTTTACTTAAAAATCTGATCTGTGGATATGTAATAATTGAGTAAAGAGCCCAAAAATGAAACATGTGATCGTTCTTCATAAAAGGTTGTTCTAGCATGTGCTCAAAGTATCAGTCATGAAAGCTGGAAAAAATGGGTGTAGCACAGTGAGAGTTAGTCATGGCCTGGAAAACAGGGTAGGAAAACAATTTAAGCAGAATAGTTACTCAGCTAATTGCTTTGAATAAGTATCAGATTTACACACCCTAGCACCCAAACTCAAAATTTCTACTTGATATGATGTACTTGAAAACCTACACTGACAGAAATATCTTTCTCTTTCTCCAGGTTGAGAAAAAAAATAAAATTAGGTGTTTTCGAAGACTGTATTTAGGCTTGCAAAAGCAACTAGAAAAAAGAAACCACTTGCTTTAAGGCTCTTGGAGCAGTGCAAAAGTGTGGATACAAAGTCCTAGTAACTCCCAGTTTGTTTTCAACTTGCTCTTTCCATGTGCTGCCACTCTGCCACTCTCAAAGCAGCATGCAACCTGTACTTTCCCTTGAATTGCCTTAAAAATAAAAAAAAGGTCAAAACCCAACGCTTAACTTTAAACTCACCTTCAAAAGCAGCTTAAGCCAAACCACTGGACTTTGCAGGAAAACAAATATGAGTGCACATGACTCACGCTGACTCTGCTTGGGTGCTCCAGCAGAAACATAACTTTTAAAATCACTGCATCTGCTTGCTAAATTAATGTACTTATACCTTTGGTGCATGAAGAACGCGGGCTGAAGTGCAATCCCTAGTATGAAGGCAAACATCACTTCCAACTGTAGTTTTGATTTCTGTGTCTGGGCTGCAAAGAGCTGAGATCACAGGAAGCTGACATATACATGGTAATTCCTTCCTAAACTCTGCATAATACATGAGAAAAGGCGCATAAACTACTGAAGCTTAGATTAAGGCTATAACTAAAGCCAGACAAGAATAAATAAGTATTGATCAAAGTATGCTGGGAGAACTTACCATTTGTAGTGTGTGCTAATCTAAGCATGCAAGGACATACGCATGCACTGCATGGGTATTTAAATGGACACAGTACAAGTCTTAAAGAGAACCTATCATAAGCTGCTAATTGTATTAAGAAACATGATCCACCATGCATTTTTTATTGCTTCAGTGTTCTGTATTGATCTTCAGGAACATGGTGGATTTTAGCATGATTATTAAAGAACAGTAGGCAGAGCACAGGGCATTAGAGGTATTAGAGGAAAGAAGGGTTGGTTGTTGGAAGCAGCCACTAGAAAGGAGTACAGAACAGTTGCAAATACTAAAGAGGCTTGAGAGTAAAGGATAGCTTTAACTGAAGAGTGGGAAGAACGAAGGGCAAAAAATATGTTGCAATAGTAAATAATGAATAAGACATGAATCACAGTGATGGTGCTGTTGACAGAGAGGTTTAAAGATGTCGCCCAAGAGGAGAACCTCAGTGTGACAAATGAGACACCAAATATGAAATGCAGACTGGGGAAGAAGAAGCAGCAGAGAATTTGCTGAGCCAACGGGGCAAAAGCAGGGAAGTGAAAGGCCTGGATAGGAAAAATGCTGTCTTTGAAGCAGGAAACATTTAAATACTATTCAATCTGCTAAATCCTGCTGAATCTGGTAATAGAATGCCAAGTGAAACCAAAATGCACAGGAAAGGAATCTTACACTGGGGGAGGAAGACACTTGGATGAGAGGTAGAGCGTATTTAGGAAAGAACCAAACAGATGATTGTTAAGAGTACTTGCTTGCTCCTGTAAACTATTTTCAATCTAATACTTTCCCCGATGGTTGTTTGACATGTTACAGAAGGGTCAGGAGTGGGCTTCCCCTCTGGAAGATCTTGGACAGGGCTTCCCCTTTCATTTACCCATAATGTGTGAATCATTTGTTACTGTAAGAAAGGCATTTGCTCACCAACAACAGTTTTTCTTAAAAACAAAAAAACAAAAAAATCACCTTTTTATTAAAATGGAGAAATAAATGAGTTGCAGCAATAATATTGGGGGAACTATCTCATTAAGCAAAATGTAAATCCACAATTCTTTCAATTGTTTTCAATAACAACAGCCAGCCAATAGTAATTATGAAAGCATCAGCATGAAAGGGATATTGTTTATTAGAGAATTCCTAAACACTTTGGGCCAAGAAGGGTTAAATGGTAAGTTTTGAGCAGCAGCATCTTAAATACAACTGTTCAGACAGGAGACAGGAAGAGATGTACTGACATCTGGAGCATTTGGTCTTGAAGTTCTGACAAACAATGAACTATTTCACTAGTAAGTAAGAAGTAATGAGTAAATTCACTTTCAAAGTTGGATAGAAAATATCTTAGAAATGACTGTCTTGGTCCACAGTCTACATCAAGTGGAACAGCATCTTAAACATCTGTAATGAAAATTAAATATAGTTAAATATAGCTATCAACTTTAATCTCTTATTTTGTAGGAAAAGTAAACCTTACTTAGATTAAAAAATAATCCAATATCTAGAGAGTTTTGTGGAAAATTGGGCTTGTGTAAGCCTGTAACCTGCTCCCTGGTTCTGTCCAGGACTTGTCATATTAAAATGAGGCAGGTGTGCTTGAGATCATTTATCTTAGAATGTGTTCATTTACCACTCTTAGAAGTTTACTCTTATATAGCCCAGAGACCTGCATCTAAAGCCAGCCAGCCCTCAAAGACAGCCTGCCCTAAAACAGCAGTTAATCCCAGCACAGACCTTTCTGTGAAACTTCTGCAGTGGGACAGCAAGAAAGGTAAGGATGGGCTCATCTCACATTTGCCTCTGTTTCACCAGTTCGCTTGTGTAGGTGGGTTGATTTGGAGAGAGAACCAGTCCTTTAAGAATAATTTGCATATTGCATATGTACGTAAGCCATGTATTTAACTGATATAACTCATGTTGTCATCTTCCATTTATTATCACTCAGGACTTTTGGCTTCACGTTACTCTGACAGATCACAAGTGGGCAGGATTCAGCCTGCACAAAATTATGCACAAAAGTCTTAAATTACACTCAAAAGTTTTTATATACTTCTGTTAGTGACTTCTGTTTGTAAAGCTTGCTCTCTTGTGAAAGTCTGTCCACCTCTTTTCCTTTAAGAAGAGTAATACGGTTACACTGAAATAATTTTCAGTGAGTGAACAGTAGCTCATCATTAAATCATTAGCCACAGAAAGAGAAAAGGAACTTGTGTGCTTTTCCAGCTTATGAAACACTGTATGTGCTGTTTGGGGCTGCAGTTTCTGTTCAGATAAATGTCTAATGGAAAGGCCCCACTTTATGGCTTGTAGTGACCTTGTTAAGAAAGTCTTTCATGATGACACAGCAGAACTGAGACACATTGTCTGTTAAAATTCCTATCACTGGATAAGCAAGAGAAACCACAGCAAATATTTGAGTGCAGGGGCAGCCCACTTCCTGCATGTCACCAGGAGCTAGAGGAGCTGGCAAAGGCACAGCAAGCCTTTGCTGATCCCATTCCCAAAGTTGTGATCCATGGTCTGACTGGATCCGCTCACCTTCTTCCACACAGATGCTGCAAGACTCCCTGCCTGTTGTTTAACAGCCAGGAAGACATTCTTGTTTTGCAAATGAAAACATTTTATTACAGAAAGACTACGTGTGATGGAGACCTCTGACAAAGCCAGCTAGATGCTGAAAAGATGGAAAATCAGCCACTGCACAAGTCTGACTGCTTGTTTCACAACTGTCAATCCATTGAGCAACACCAATATTGTTATTGCACATTAATAGAATGCAACAGTAATTATAGCTTATTCCATCTAAAAGCCTGGTAAATAATCTAATTTCAGATTTCTAAAAGCTTGCACATTTGAACAGCTAATGGATGTTTCTGATACTTACTATTATTAAGATTCGAATTGTGATACAAATTTATGCAACCCTATCAGGAAGCTGCATGCAGAATCACTTTCAGTACCAAAGAAATCAGCAAAGTGCCCTGCACAAATGTTTGAAATGTGAGATGGATGTACTGCAGATACATCCTGCAACACCAGCCATTTTTATGGACAAAACACATTTTATGGAAAAGAAAAAACTCCCAGTGGAGGGGTCTTGGGCTACATGGTACTCTTCACTGACTGCTACAGACAGAGGCTGCTGCAAGCTTGACTATCAGAGAGCGTAGGAGGGGGAACCCATGGCTTGTCAACAGGAAATGGCCCACAAATTATTTTAAATTCCGATAAACATTTTAAAGTTTTTACTCAGTGTGGGATCACATTAATGTGCAACCCAGTAAAACACACACGAAATATCTCTTAGTCCTCAGGAAAGACAGCTAAGCTCAAGAGGTAGGGCAAAGCCTAAACAACTTGGCACGCTTCTCACTGCAAAAGCAAAGCCCTGGCTGTGGCAAATCTCTAAAATCCATAAATTCAAAAGGCAAAAGCCTGGAAGTATAGTTTTTGTGGTTTTTTTTTTTTTTTTTTTTTTTTTGTTTTGTTTGTTTTTTATTATTTTTTATTTTATTTTATTTTATTTTACTAGCAGAAGAAGTATGCATGTGAACAAACCATCTAAAGCTAGGTAAATTTGGGTAGCTTCCTTGAAAGAGGGCAAAGAATAGTATTTTTAGGAGCTGATCATTAACTCAAATCAAAACAAAATATAGTTGTAATTGTACAGAAGCTCATCTTAACTGGTTATATTTTCAGGGAAACGAAAAAAGGAAGAAAAAAAAAAACCAGCAACAACAACTGAGCAAAAGCAAACAATGAAAAGCTGATCTCCCCAGATAATATCTCTTACTGTCTCGTTATCATCTGAGCTCCCTTACATACAGATCATGTGGAAATATGAAGGTGTTAAAATCAGGTATTAACTTTCTAAACCAGCTAATTCTTGCAGCATTGGGTGTTGGCCTGGCTGGAGCACAACTGGTTGAGAAGTTGGGCTGCCTCCAGAACACATTTGAAAAGGCCTTCAACTACTGTAATGTCAGCTTTCCTTAGCTTTGGTTTTCTGCTGTTAGCAGCTGCTGTTGATTAGTTTTCACTGAAGCGTGTTCTCTGGTTGTGCTACAAGCTCTATCATTGCTGTTTCTGCAGTGAGTGCTCCAGCATACAGATCCGTGTGCTTAACCTAGAGGCTGAGAAATGTATGAAACTGAAGATGGTGCTTGCTGTAATACAGCTGAGGCTCCAGGGCAGAGCTGTCTTTCTTTCCCTTCTGGTCCTGTGTTTCTATTTTCTGAGCTGTAGGAATAAAAATAAGCAGAAGCCATGAGCGTATGCTCAATATACGTAAATGATCTTCCCTTTGGAAGCACATGAAACAGGTTGTGTTTTCTCCATTGACTACTCCAGACAGTACTGAGCAAGAATATGAAATTAACAGAGCAATTATACAATTACAAAAAGCAAGCTACTGATATATATACATATATATTTGGTGGTTTTTTTTTTTTTGTTTGTTTGTTTGTTTTTGGTTTTTGTTTTTTGTTTTTTGTAGTGATAACCACAACAATTATGAGGATAATGAAGAAATGTAGTATTCATGAAGCAGTCAAGGAGAAGTAATGAGGGGGGAGGGGGAAGGCTGACTCCTTTATAAAACCACAGCATTTGTGTTTTGGGTTACCTTGAGAGGATTTAAGAGATTAAAGAAATAAACAAAGCTTTGTGAAAGACTTTTCAGGTCCATGCTGTTTTTTAGTGAAGAATAGGGATTTTACACGGTAGATGTTGCCTTTACTTCCAGAATAGAACAAAGTTCCTCATAGCCACGTCCTCGGGCCCTACTCATGCTGCCCCAAGATCCTGCCAAGGCCCTCAGGGAACAGTCCCAAAGCGGTTCTTCCCCACGGCACGCTAAGACCCCTTCGTGCTCTATTAGGCAAGAAAGAGCTCGGGGGGCCGTGCTAACGAAGGACGAGGTGAGGGCAGCCCCCTGTGTGGGCACCGCGAGGCGGGAGGGCACCGGTCACTCGCCCCCCTCGTGCCGCCTGAGCGCCGCGCCTTCACGTGAGCGCCCGGCCCCTGCCGCAAATAGCTCGGGCGGGCGGATAAGAGGGCTGCGAGGGCAGACTTTGTCCCCACACGGCCGCCTTCGCGCCGGGCCGTTCCGTCTCTCCGCACCGCGGGGCTTTCTCCGCCCTTGACTGAAAGTTTCAGAGTCTCGGTCTCGCCTTCTCTCTCTCGACAGCGGTGAGTACCGGCGCGGGCGAACAGACGGGAATGGAAGCGGAATGGCGGTGAGAGAAGGGAAAAAGGGGGCGAGGAGGCACCCGGCGCCGCCGGCACTCGCCCTAAGCCCGCCCGCCGAGCCAATGGCGGGTGGCCATGGCGGGGGGTGTGTGCCGCGACCTCACTTCCGGTACCTGTCACCGCCGCCCGGAGCCGCTCAGCCAGGCGCAGGAGCGGGGTACTGTGTCCCGGAGCTCGGGGGGCTGCTGCCGCCGGGGGCTGCTCGCGCCGGGAGGCCGGCGGGCCCGCGGCACCGGGAGGGCGGGTGTGGGTGGGGGACGCGACGCCGTTGGCCCCAGCCTGACGGCTGTGCCTGCGGGCGGAAGGAACGCGCGGCGCTGCCCGGGGGCAGCCCCCGGCCGGGCTGGGGGGGTCTAGGGCTCGGGGCGGGGGCGCGGGCCGGTTCTGGTGCTGCCGATGGCGTGGCCTTCCCTTTCCCGTCTATTCTCCTTGTGCTTTGCCCTGTTGTACGCCGCGTCCCGCTAGCCGAGGCGGGGAGCTGCTGGCGAGGAGATGCTGTGGGTGCCGGGAGCTGAGGGACGAGCGAGGGCCGGCCCTGAGTGGGGCTGGGGTGGAGGCAGGGGGCAGCATTAGGGGCTGTGCGGACACGGCGGGTGCTGGGGAGCAGTCGGGGTGGCTCGAGTTGGAAGGGTCCGTGGTTAGGAGGACCTGGTTCCGGCGTCCCCTGCAGGGCTGTAGGACACCTGCAGACTTTCCTGTTAGCGTCTCGCATTAATTATTTGGCTGAAATTCGCGCGGTCTTCGCAGGTAGTAAAGCGGGAAACCGTAAAAATGCTCCCTTGATATATTTTGAATCGCTGTCTTAATGCTGAGGATACCTGGTGGAGTGCTGGGACTGAGGGTAGCGGTGGTACATGTGATGTGGTCACACGCTGCTCGAAGCTAAACCAGCGTCGTAACTTTTGTTCACTGGCATGAGCTGCCCAGCCAGCAGCCCTGGGCTCTTAGTAGCTTTTTGTGGCAACTTTATAGTTTTTATGTAGCACAGTGCATAGTTTCAGTAGGATGAGTGCACGCGCAGACCTTATCGGAGGTTTGTACAACCGCGTCAATAGCACACCCTCTTGCTTTTCCCATCTTTGGAAGGAGCGCTTGACATAGGCCAAAAAAAGTACTTATCAGTCTGCTGATGCCCTGTATTGACTCTCATCCTGCACGGTCAGGTGGCTTAGAGAGTTCTGTTGTCTCGTATAATCCCACGTGTTCTGGCATTTTTCTCACCTGCAGTTCAGGGTACTGGATTTTTTTGTTGTTCTTGTTTCCTTGTTTGTTTGTTCAATATCTTAATTTCCTGTGCATGCCCCTCCAAACTGTAGTGCTTTCAAAGGGAATTAGGAGGTTTAAACCATGGAATAGAGGCTGCGTTTCAGTTGTTTTTAATAGTTTATGTTGAGTGTTATAAAAACTTCAGGGGAGAAAACATCACAGCACAGCACAGTAGGATGGGTGGCCCAGGGTATTCATCTTGTTCTGGAAAATGGATTATAGTGCTCACTGTTTGCCTGAATTGATCAAAGAGAGGAATGCATATATTTTTTTATTCTCAGTGTTTTGAAGAAGCTCTTTCTTCAAATTTGCAAATAACAACCTATTATTATTATTATTATTATTATTAGTTTTTTAGCTCCTGTTTGAAATGTTTTAACTTACCAGCTGAGATCTGCGCTATGACTTGTCGCTCTTGCAACTGGAATGTCTGTTACAAGATATATCCAGGAACAGGAGAATGCCATAATTGTCTGGAAAAATAAATAATGCTGAATTTGTATCTATTATAAATGAAACATTTTCTTGCAGCATTTTGGAATTTTAACATTTTTAATCAAATCTGGCATCACTTGCAAAATCTCCTTAATGGTTTAATTTGTGTGTTTTTGAGCTGAATGGAGCCAATTTAATCAAACTATAATTTATTTTTATAGCTATGTATGTGCAGCCTTTTTTTTTTTTTTTTTTTCTCCTTTAATGGTTACATGTTACAATAAAATCTCTCCCTTTGGGGTGTGATTGGTAGCTGAAAGGCCAATTGCAAAGACATCTTGTGGGATGCATGTGTGTGTTCCTCAAAAACCTTAACCGTTTGTCCACATAAACACTTGGACATTTGTGAGGATGTTCCTTATGAGTAGAAGTATTTTGTTTTACAGTACATAGTAAAAATACCAGAAGGCTTTCAGTGAAGTGATCTTGAGTGCTTTTAATTAATTATTTACTTTTAGTATAGAGGAAAAAAAAAATCTGAATGCTGTTGGGATGTACCAGTCATAGACCCTAGTTAGCTAGATGTCAGTGTAGTCTTCATGTAAAATTAGGCACGTATTATTAGCCTCAGTCATTTTAAAAAAATTAGTATTCACCCAAGTGAAATAAGTGCTTGTTGGTAGCTGTTGGGTTTTTTTGTTTGTTTGCTTGTTTTATTTTTTTTTTTCCTGAAGGGACTTTAAGAATAAGAAAAAGCCATTATGTTACGTACTATCAACATAAAATTAGATTAGTAAGCTTTCAGAAATTTTACTGATTTTTTTTTTTTATAGAATATCAGAAGGTTTTTTTTTTGTTTTTTGTTTGTTTGTTTGTTTTAGTGAAGAGCCACTTGCTATCACCAATGTGCACATGAAATGGAAAGGGAACAGATTATGGAAAGCAGCTTCTGTTTCAACCTTGCCAGATGCTGCGTGAAGTGGTAAGTGAATATGGGGGCTGAGAACTACTTTGGCAATGTTCCCAAACTACTAGAGAGGAAAAAAACATTTGAGGTAGTATATCTGTAAGGAGTAATTGATGTAAAAATAGTCAATTGACCAAGAAAGAATTCTGAATAAAGTTGTGCAAACAGTTGATAAAGGGCAGGTCATGGAGAACAGAATAAGCAAGATTTCCTTATGCTGTGGTGTCTGTTCTCTGTGTTCAACTTCTACATAGAAGGAAGTGTGTAAAGGTTTTATGCAGAAGAATTCTGAGTTCTTAATATTTTTAGAAGTGTTTAAGAGTGTTCAACATTTCTCAGGACCAGGCCTGTAAGGTTAAATATTGAACAAGTCTTTGAAGGAGAGCGCTGAATGGTCACTGAGTGAAAAAGTACTTATCCTGTAAGCTTAGGCTCTAAATCAGCGCTAGACTCAAAGTAAAGTGAAAATTGCTCTGTCTTGAGAAGTGTGATATTTGGCATGTTTGTCAAACTTTATATGGATATAGGAAGATTGCTGTCTGACCAGATTGCATGTGGCATTGAGGTGTTGCCAATTGTGATCCGGCTTCCTCATACCAGTTCTAATGGTTTCTGCTTATGAAACAGTATTTATTTATAAGTGCCTTGCATATGTATTTGACATATCTGTGAAGTATAATCTGTATCCAATGAAGGGCTCTCTATGCACAGATTATTACAAATTATAAAATACTATTCAGCAGTTTTCTAATCCTGATTTAGGCTTGTTACATCACTGTGTTTCTTCGATGTGTTTTAAAGTGCTCTACATGCATGCTGTGGAAACTTGTTGGTACTTTGCAGTTTGAAAGATGAGAACCAACAAAGAGGATAGTTCATTCTGCTGTACTATATTCACTAAATGTATCATTTTAGATTCAAGTTATCTCATACCTGTGGAAATGCTGACAGCATGAGATATATTTGCAAGCATTTGGCAGGTTAACTGTCCCTCTCTAGAACTGCTAAAGCACAATAATATTTGGTTTTCACAGAATCACAGAATGGCCAGGGTTGGAAGGGACCTTATGGATCATGAATCTCCAGACCCCCTGCCACATGCAGGGCCACCAAACTCCCCATTTAAGTTGTTTAAATTTACTTATAAATGGAAAGATTAATTATTATTAAACTTTCCTAATAGCAGAAGAATCTTGGTTTAAAAAAAAAAAGAAAAAAAAAGCATCTGCCATGAGAAACTGAGAGTCATTTCTTGGCTTTTAGCAGCTGCTGAAGTTGTAAGGTTCCAGCCAGCTGTAATGCATATGAAAACAAATTAGTCCAACATTTTTCTATTTTATATTTTCATTTCTCTGTAGTCCAGTTTGTTGGTAAGTATGTAAAAGAGAATCAGAGCTGGTGTTTGGTGAATAGGTGGCTGAATGAATTATTCATCTAAATGTGTAAAAAACAAACAAACAAACAAAATATATATACATTAGAGCTGAGAGCATTTAGTGTTGCGAGTAGCTTAGAGTTTGGTGTGTTGTGCATGAAATACTGCTATCACTATCTGCCCTAATGTTATTTAGATTTAAAAAAAAAAAAAAAAAAAAAAAAAAGTCATTTGAAACTATTCTATTTTAAGGCTTTGAAAGAGGGTTTACTTCTTGTTGGATATATCTACATATCTAGCACAGTGACACTGTTTGAGAAAGTTCTAAGTCTTCATGTATAGT